TGGGCAATCCTACTTCCGTAGTGATACTGCCTCGGAAACCCAAGGAGGGGTCGCTATGAGTCGGGGCCGACTCGATGGCAAATAACAACGACATTCTTTCTCTGGTAGCACAGTGCCTAAGGCATTTGACTGCTAACCAGAAGCCTGGTGGTTCAAACCCACCAGCCACTCGTCAGAAAAAAACATTAGGCAATCTGCTTCTATAGTGATACTGCCTTGGAAACCCAAGGAGGAGTTGCTGTGAGTCGGAGCCAACTTGATGGAAATGAGTTTTTTTTTTTTGATTCTTTTACTCAGTTTCACCATTTTACAATTGCTTACATCCACTGGGAGCAGAGAAAGGATCTGTGAATCAGTTAAAAAATCGTTTCCCAAGTAGTATAGTCATTTCGGTGGTTTGTAGGGCGTAACTCAGTGAGATTAACAGATTCTAGCAAGTGCTAGGAGTGGATGTGGAAGAGAATCACAATATAACACACTACAAGAGTTTCTATGTTTTGGTATTTCCTGATTGTAGTGACCCATTTCAAATCTGACATGCTTTTAAAAATGATCCTTTGCTCCTTTAATTTGCTTATTAAGTCACTATAAAGACAACCTGCTAAAGCATGAAAATTTGAAAATGAAAAATAAAGGCATAATTTGTGTAAATGATTGTATACTCTTTCTGTGTATTCTTTATTTTCAAATGATGATTGTACGATCTATCAGTATTACTCTTTATTTTCAAATTCTGAAGATTGGTATCAATCACAGGTAGAATATTAGACTTTAAAAGCAATCTGTGTTTTTATTTGTAATCATTTTTAGTTTTTAATAGAACCTTTTATTATTTTAATACATTTAGTAAGGTTAGATGTAAGATAATATACAAAAGTTAATTGCATTTTGTTGTGCTGCCAATAAATAAAATTTAAGAAAAGATGCTATTTATAGTAACAATGAAAATACAGAATATCTGCAGTAAAAAATAATAAAAGATACATGAGATGTTTATGTAGAAAACTATACACTTTTATTGTAGAACATTAAAAACTAATGAAATACCTTGTTCATGTAGGAAGATTTGATTTGCAGATGTCACTTTTCCCTATGTGTGGATATTCAATGCAATTCTAATGAAAATTTTAGGAATTTTTGGGAGTCTTAGAAACTAATTCTGAAGTAGAGGACTAGTGGTTCAAAAAGACCCAACACATCCTTGGAAAGGAACTTTTTTTCCTAGATATTAAGCCTTACCAAAACAATGACTTGTAAGCCTCATTAATTCCTGTATGCTTATAATATCAGTGCAGTATGCATAAATAGACAAAATATGGTGGAGAGTACAGAAACAGACGTGTGTAAAAACATATCTGGAAGATGACAGTGACAGCATTCCATATGTCTCATTTATACCCTATGCAAATCTATTTCAGATGGATTTGGGACTTAACTGGGAAAATCGGTACAGAAGAAATTACAGGCTTTTTATTTTATGACTGCAGGAAGGGAACTTTTCTAAGATTAGGAATTTCTATTTACCAAAAGTAAATGAAATAATAAGTCACAAACTTAGAAATGATTTTACTCTGGTGGCATAGTGCCTAAGACATTTGACTGCTAGCCAGAAGGTTGGCGGTCAAACCCACCAGCCCCTCCATGGAAGGAAGACTGGGCAATCTACTTCTGTCAAGATTTACTGCTTCGGAAACCTAAAGGGGTTTGACAAACCTAAAGGGGTTTGTCACTATGAGTCAGAATTTACTCAATGGCAGTGGGTTTTTTTTTTTTTTTTAAAATTTTGTCTTGGGAAAAAGCTTACAGAGCAAATTGATTTTCCATACAACAGTTCAGACTCATTTTGTTTCATGACATTGACTGCAATTCCCCACAGTGTAACAGCTCTCTTCTCACTTCCTCCTTGTAGTTATCTCTTCCCTGTGTCCTTTCCTATGCATTCCTGCCCCTGACCTGTATCCCTATATAAATACTGCCCTTCTTTTCTCCCATCACTGATCATTCTCAGGAGTATATCTACCTGGTATAAATGTTCACCCTGTATGCCTGTCTGTTGTTTGGCTGGAAGCCATGGAAATAAGTTCAGTTCCAGGCCTGAAGGGATAACTAGAGGCCATCGTCTCAGTGGTTTTACCAGGCTCAATCAGATCAGTAAGCCTGGTCTTTTTTTGATTTTGAGTTTTGTTCCACATTCTTCTCTCACTCTATCCAGGATCTCCTGCACTGATTCCTTTCTGAGTGGTTGATGGTGGTAGCCAGGCACTATCTATTTTTTCTGGGCTCATGGCTATATAGGCTGAGGTTCTTATGGTCCACTAGTTGAAACTCACTCTTTGAAAACAATTTGGCAAAACGGTAGGAATCTTTTTATCTTTTGGCCTAGTTTTTTCACTCCTGTGAATGTATCCAAATGAAGTCTTCCCCTAGAAAGAAAAAAAGCTGTTTGATTAAAAATGCAAATTTCAGCAGTATACCAAAACAATGAAATCATCTCAGTGTGTAACAGCAGATCAAGAAAATTATGGGACATCTACATAATGAAATAATAATGGAGCTGTCTTATAATTATGAAGTCTTGTCATAACATGGTATATTAAGCAAAGCGAAACTCAAAATTTTATCAATGTTGTATAAAAATTAGGTATGATAGAAAAGAAAACTGGTGATTTCTTGGACTGGGAGAATATAAGAGACTTTCTTCTTTTACTGTCATTATTGGGATTACAATTTGTGAAATACAAAAATAACAAAATCCATGACGGGAAGGGCAGTGTACCAAAAGTAAGTGATCAACATGGCACTGAGGAGGAGGAAGACACAGAGGTACACAAGAGGTACAGACAACAAGATAAACCCTTTGACAGTACTGTGTTGTCAGTGATAACAAACATTAATTTGTGGGTGAATAGATGGGTAGACGGGCCGAATGATCAGGTATGTTTAGGCAAAACGGAATATACCCATGACCATATGTAAGGTTGGACAACAGTAGTTCTGCATACATATTTGTGTGTGCTGTAAGATTGTCCAAATATATAATAGAGCTAACAAGGGGCAAAGTTATGATAACTTCTTGGCCATCGCCAACTACCCCGAGGGAGTGAGTAGTTGGACCTGTGGACTTGAGACCATGGTTGCAGGGGACATCAAGCTCAATTGGCATAACATGCTACTCAAAAACATTGTTCTACATCCTACTTTGGTGAGTAGCAACTGGGATCTTAAAAGCTTGCAAGTGGTCGTCTAGATGGCAACAGTGGGTGTCTTCTTGTCTGGAGGAAGGAAGAATGAGGAAAATCAAAGACTCATGGAAACAATAAGTCTAAGGGACTAGTAGACCATGTGATCTTCAGCCCATGTGACCATGTGACAAGAACTAGATGGTGCCCAGCTACCACTATCAACCACTCAAAGGGATCAGTGCAGGAGATCCTGGATAGAATGGGAGAACAATGTGGAACAAAATTCAGAATCATAAAAAAGATCAGGCTTACTGGTCTGATAGAGCCTGATGAGACCCCCGAGACTGTGGCCCCTAGTTACCACTCAGGTCTAGAACTGAATCTTAGGCTTCCAGCCAAACAGTGGACAGGCATATAGGGTGAACATTTATATCAGGTGGATACACTCGATCAATCATGAGAGAGCAGAAGGGCAGTGTTTGTATAGGGAAATAGCTTGGGGTATGGCTCGGGATGGGAGTGGGGGACAAGAATGTATAGGAAAGAAGGACACAGAAGAGGTAACTACAGGGAAGAAGTGGGAAGAGAGCTGTTATATTGTGGGGAATTGCAGTCAATGTCATGAAACAAAATGTGTGTGAACTGTATGGAAAATGAATTTGCTCTGTAAACTTTCACAGAAATCACAATGAAACAACAAATAAAAAAACACAGTAGAAAAGTGAACAGATGCCAAATAGTCCAAAAGTAAAATTAACTAGTATTTCACAGCAGAGGAAACATTAATGGCTAAAAACATCAGAAATGATGCTCAACTTCATTATTAAGCAGGAAAATGTAAATTAGAACCCAAAACAAGCCATGTTTCTTAATATCCAATAGATTGGCAAAAATTAGAACCTGGAAGACAGTATCAAGTATTTGATGAATATGTGGATCAGTGGAAATACTTATATCCTTCTATTGGAGTGTAAATTATTTTAACCATCTAGGAAAATGTTTTGGCTTTACCAAGTGTGTTAGACTGGGTTCTCTGGAGAAACAAAACCAGTAAACCTTATATATATAGAGAAAGAAATTTATCTTAGGAAAATGGCTCACACACTTACAGAAGCTGGCAAGTCCAAAGTTCTTGGATCAAATGTCAAACTGGAGGCTTTTCCTGACTCACGCAGCTGCAGGGACTGAGGAGCTCAAGGTTGGCAGGTGGTATACTCCAATGAATGACGAATCCAAGAGCTCCAGGCCGAATGGTGGATTGTTTGCTCACGGACAGTTGTAGGCAGCACAATAGAATCCTGATGCACAGAAGAGAAATGTCTCTTTTCCCAGGATGTCCATAAATATACTGGAAGCAGGCCACACACCCTAGGGGAACTCCCTTTCGACGGATTGGCTGCTCAAAATGTATTCATCTGATCCCATCATGGGAATAACCACATCATGACTGCTGAAACCACACAGAATTGTGGTCCAGCCAAGTTGACACACAGCTGCAACTATCACACCAAGTTAAGTTGAAAATGGACATAGTCTTTATGTCCCAAAAGTATGTACCTTAGAGAAACATTCATATGTATGCCATTGTATATTCATGTGTATATGTACAAGAATGTTCATGACAGTATTGTTCTTAATGGTAAAAAAACCAAAACCCAGAAGTTCCCTCAGTGGTACAAAGAATATACTATATAGTATATTCAAATGAGGCATTCATTGGTGGTTCTTTCCATATGGCAGATCTGAGTTCAGTTATTGGCCATTGTACCTTATAAGCAGTCCCCACTCGTCTGTCAGTGGAGCTTGTGTGTTGCTGTGATGCTGAACAAGTTTCAACTGTGATTGACTAGTAAGAAATGCCTGATGACCTACTTCTGAAAATCAGTCAGCAAGAACACTATGGATCACAGTGATCCAGTCTGCAACAAGTTATAACAAAGGACTGAGCAGTGGTTCTTTTGTGAGTGAGGTTACTATGAGATGGGAGCCACTTGATGGCAGCTAAAAAGAACAACATTTATACAGAGGCAGTAACATTAATGAATTACAGTTACATGTGTGTGAATCTGAAAGCCAGTGTTGCTGGTGGAGAAGGGATAGAATGTCACAAAAAATATGTACAGTATGATTGCATTTTTATAAAGTTAAAAACTAAAATTACATGATATATGTTTTAGGAGTACAAAAATCTGGCGAATTTATGATGAAAAGGGAATATTAAACACAGAATTCAGAGTAGAGATGTAATGTCTGGATAGGAAGAGGATATAGTAGTGGAGGAGGGCACAGAGTAGACTTCACAGGATTATTGATGATGTTCTCTTTGAGTGATGGGTGCAAATATTTTATTCTCTTTTTATAAGAAAATATGTTGTAAGCCAATTTGTCAGGAACATCTTACCTTTCAATGATCTTAAAAAATTTATTTTTACCTCTTTGATCATTTACAAAGTTAGATATTTTTATTGCTTAATGGTAATTTAACAAGAACATATATATTTAGTTATCATAGAGAACTGTTATGTTTTCCTTGGCTTACAGATTTTCCGTCAGATATTGCTAACAAGTCTCTCTCCGAGAGCACTGCCACAATGCTCTGGAAGTCAAAAGGCAGAAGGAGAAGAGCATCCCATCCCACTGCAGAATCTTCTAGTGAGCAGGGGGCTAGTGAAGCTGACATTGACAGTGATAGTGGTTACTGCAGTCCTAAACACAGCAACAACCAATCTGCAGCAGGAGCTTTGAGAAATCCTGATTCTGGGACCATAAATGTATGTAGTGTTACCTTAATTTCTTTATCCATCATCTGTGTCAGTATTAATATTTGTGTCCTCTGCTAAAGTTTAAGTATCTGTTTTCATCAATAGTTCCTGTAGTAGTAATAACATGGTTAAAAATGTATCTTGTGTATTATTTTACTGTTAATATGAAAAATATTCATATGTAGAGATTGTGTTTTCTAAGATTGTAGTAAGTCCCCACTATACTAAATTATGAAACATTTTGCACAATATATAGTGTTGACTTTTAGATGGAAATAATTGTCTTTTTTCTTCCTTTTTTTTAGCATATGGAATCATCTATATGTTCAGGTACTTATTTTCTGCATAGTGTTTTTGCTTTACTTACTGTACTTTTTCTTGCCCATGTTAGAATTTTATTTTGAGCATGAAACTTGGCTGATACTGTAAAAAAAAAAAAAAAAATTTTCTGAAAAGATCATGTTAATTTGAAATGACAGCTTGGCTGATCAAATTTAAAAAATGCTAGTTTGGGATGTTCTGCAAGATGATACTTACTTTTACAGAGAGATGGAATACCACTTAAAGTTTATAGAAAAATTTCCAGTACTGCATTTGTAGTGACTGAAATTCAGTACATGAAGTTAGGGTCCAATCTTCTACGTTTTCTCATCTTTTGTAAGTAAATCATATTGTAAAATCTTGTTTGTTGCAGGTGGTGTAAATTGGTCCAATGTAACTTGCCAGGCAACTCAGAAAAAACCTTGGATGGAAAAACATCAGACATTTTCTAGAGGTGGAAGGCAAACTGAACAAAGAAATAATGCACAGGTAATTGGAATTGGGTTGGAGAAATTTGATGAGGTGTGAGATGATACTAGGAAATTACTGTTAATTTGTTAGCTGTAATAAAGGTATAGTGGTTAATGAGGAACCATGCCTTTAATTTCCCAAGATATGTTTTGAATTATTTAGCACTGAAGTAATATCTTACATTGTAATATATTACAATATATTGTAATATCTGCAACTTAATTTTAAAATAGGTTAACAAAAGAAGGAAGGAAGAAAATACAAAATGTTGACAGTAGGTAGTAGGTATGTGGATGTACATTCCACCACTTTTCTTCTTTTCTATATATTTAAGTATTTCATAGTTTGAAAAACGAAGCCTTCTAACCCTCCTTCATCTGCCATGACTTATTCCTAGTCATAAATTTTAAAATCATTTTAATGCCTTAAATATTCTTTGAATTTCAGTATTGCAACTTTGTCCACATATCTTTATTTGATTGTAAACACCATAGACCATACTTCTGTCATAGTGGCACTGACCTATTAATGGCAGTTCCTTAATGTAATGTGTCCAGACTGGGTAGGTTCCTGGCCTTGTGGAGTGTCTTCATTATCCAGTGCTGCTGTAACCCAAATATCATAACTGGGTGGTTTTAAAAGACAGGACTTTATTTTCTCATAGTATTTGTTAGCCATAGGCATTTCTTATGTTCTTTGGTTGTAGGCAGTCCTCACGAGGCATCTGTCTTGCCGTGTGTGTGTGTGTGTGTGTGTGTGTGTGTGTGTATGTGCGCGCGCCTATTTTGTCTTTATAAGTTGGTTTAGAATCTGACCTACACTGTTTGATGTCATTAGCATAATAAAAGAAACCCCTGTATTTTACAAGCAGGGCCTTATTAACGGGTATGACTCATTGCCATCGAGTGGATTCCGACTCATGGTGGCCCCCTTTGGGTTTCCAAGGCTGTAAATTCTTTACGGGAGTGTACTGCCTCATCTTCCTCCTAGGTTGAACCTCTAACCTTCTGGTTAGCAACCAAGTGCCTTACCCAGTATGCTAGCATAGCTCCTTATTAATAGGTATTGGGGTTAATATTTCAAGACATATTTTTGAGGGATACAATTTAGTACATAACAAGGAGCAAGGCTTTAGCTGCAGCTGCAGTAGAGAGAATGCAATAACTGTATCTGCCTGCATTGATTGTCTATAAAATGAGGGAGTTTATTTGGCCAGTATTTTAAAAAAATTAATGTTTTGTTGTCCTTGAAAGTACACATAACAAAACATGTGTGAACTGACAGTTTCTACATGTATAGTTAAGTGACATTGATCCTTCAAATTGTGTGAGAGGAACAAGTTAATAATAATAATAGATTAAATAAGGCCAAATACTTGCCTATTACTTTGCCTTCTAGAAGTGAAGTGCTTTAGATGTCCCTTCACGTTAATTAGGCTGTTAGGCAAACATGTGGACTATGATCCTTTCTTCCCTGTGGTTGTTACAAAAATGAGTCATTGTTGGTAGCAGTCTTGTGAGACAGTCTAGCTTTATCTGATTAAAAACAGAAGGCCTAAAATAGGAATCGTTTATATAGATAAGATAAACAAAAATCTACCAAATGTTTATGTAAGTGCTGAAATTCTATGTTGAGATTGTGACTGCTTGTCCTGCCAAGTTTGTAGTCTTGGTACTGTTGCTTTTGTTTTCAGTAGCCCACTTGAGAAGAAATAAGTAGTGAGATTGAAAAACATTTCCCCTTAGTCAAATTGGTGAGCAATGATAAAAAGAACAAAAAGGGAAATTATGCAAATACATACGGTATGCTGAGTTTTTTATTTCTCTTCATTCCAGAAGAACTGGAGCCAGGTTTGAGTAATGTGTTGGTTTCCTTTTCTATCTGTGATGCTTTGTTATGCATTTTAATATATATTTGTTTGATTTTTGACATACAGGTTTTTTTCTTTTTCTTTCAAGCCAAAATGTTTTTCCCCTTCAGCAATTTATGGTTTATTTTAGGCTTTGTTAGAAATAAAATAAATAGCCACTTTTATTTTCTGCTGTCTTATTACAATGTGGGGAGCTCTGGTAGCATAGGGCCCAAGGCATTTGACTGTTAACCAGAAGGCTGGTGGTTCAAACTCACCTGGGAAACCCAAGGAGGGATAGCTATGAGTTGGATCTGACTCGATGGCAGGTTTTTTTTTTTTAATATTATGTTATGTATCAAGACTTTGTTTTTGAGGTTTATTTTGAAGAATGGTATAAAATAAGTATTCACATTTCAGAATAGTTAATCAGTTGTCTTAACATTGTAATCCATTCTTTCCTTACTGATTTGTGTTGCCATTTTAATCATCTGCTAATTTCTTAAGGAGCCCTGGTGGCTCAGTGGTTAAAAGTGGTCAGCTGCTAACCAGAAGGTCAGTGGTTTGAACCCACCAGCTGCCCTGCAGAAGAAAGATGTGACAGTCTGCTTCTGTAAAAATATATAGCCTTGGAAACCCAATAGGGCTAAGTCTATTCTATCCTATAGGGTTGCTGTGAGTTGGAATTGACAATGGGTTTGGTTTGGTCTTTGGCTAATTGTTTATGTCCTAGATGCTATTTCTGTGCTGTTTTTTTTGTTCCATCTATCAGATTCTTGCACTTGGCACCATGCGAGTAATTATGGAGATTTTTTTTTTTTTTAAACAGTGTTCTGAAACAGTGTTTGAACATATTTGATGATGTGATGTTTTTGGGTGCCATCAGTTGACTCTAACTCATTGCAACTGTATGTACAACAGATGACCTGGTTGTGCCATCTTACTGAGGATTGTCTGCTGACCCTCCTCTTTACCAAGCATGATATCCTTCTCTGTGGAATGGTCCCTTTTGACCACCTGACCAAACTAGGTGAGAAGTCTGGCCAGTCTTGCTTCCAGGGAGCATTGTGGCTGCACTTCTTCTAGAACAGATTTGTTCATTCTGGTAGTCCATGGTATTTTCAGTATTCTTCTCCAACACCATAATTTGATTGTCCTTATTCATTGTCCAGCTTTCACATGTGTGTGAGGCAATTGAAAATACTTTGGCTTGGGTTAGGCACTCCTTAGTCTTCAAAGATGCATCTTTGCTTCTTAATGCTTTAAAGAGGTCTTTTACAGCACCTTTGCCCAGTGGAGTACGATGTCTGATTTGTTGACTGCTGCTTCCATGAGTGTTGATTGTGGATCCAAGGAAAACGAAATCCTTGACAACTTCAGTCTTTTTTCCATTTATCGGTGCTGCTTATTGGTCCAGTTGTGAGGACTTTCGTTTTCTTTATGTTGAGGTGTGATCCATACTGAAGACTGTATGTAGTCTTTGAACCTCATCAGTAAGTGCTTCAATTCATCTTCAGTTTCAGCAAAGCAGGGTTGTGTCATCTGCATATTGCAGGTTGTTAGTGATCCTCCAGTCCTGATGCCACGTTCTTCTTCATATAGTCCCGTTTCTCACATTATTTGCTCAGCATACAGACTAAATCAGTACGGTGAAAGGATACAACTCTGACACACTCCCTTCCTGATTTTAAACCATTTGATAGCACAGATCTTTTCTCTATTCTGATATAACTTTAATTTTAAGTTACAGAAAGAAAATCTTTTAAAATAGTTTTGTGAATAGACTGAGAAATAAAAGAGATTAAAAAAAGAGATACAGTACACTGAAAAAGCTCGCTTTTACTCCTGGCACCCTCATCCTGTCCTATGGTCTATATAAGTCGCACTTTGATAAGTTTCTTGTGTATTCTTTCTGAGTTTCTTTATGTCAATATAAGTAAATACAAATATGTATCATGTTTTTGTCCTTTTCCTACACAAGAGGCAGCATATACATTTTATTCTGTGCTCTGCTTTTCTAACTTAGCAATGTATCTTGGAGACATTTCCATATTGCTGCCTAGAGACATTGTTCACTTTTTAAAAATAACTGTCATTATTTCATTGTATGAGTGTATCATCACTGAGTTCTGTTGTCCTATTGATGGACATTTAATTTGACTGCAAACGTCTGCTATTATAGACATGCTGCAGTGCAATTTAGTATATATGCATGTATTTAAAAAAAAAACAGCCAAACTCACTGTTGTCAAGTCACTTCTGATTCATGGTGACCCCTCCTTGGGTTTCTGAGGCGGTATTCCTACAGAAGTAGGTTGCCCAGTCTTCCTTCTGAGGAGTAGCAGGTGGGTTTGAACAGCCAGCCTTCTGGTGAGCAGTCAAATGCCTTAGGTATTAAGCCACCAACAGTAAATAACTCCTAGATAAGGGCCCACTGGGTCAAAAGGTAAATTCATCAGTTATTTTAGTATATATCATCAAATTGTACCAGTTTGTATTATCAGCAGTGTTAGTACGTTTTTCCACATAGCTTCAGAATAGTGTATTTTCAGATGTTCAAATTTGTGCCAATTAGTTAAAAATGGTTTCTTAATGTAGTGGAGCATCTTTTCATGTATATTTAAAGGTCATTTGTATTTCCTTTTGCATGAATTTGTCTGGTTATATCCTTTGCCAGTTTTTTTAATGCTGATCTATTTATTTTCTGTTTTGTACTTTTTTTAAAAAAAAAATCAGAGTGCTTAAACTCTTATCAAATTCTTAAAATTTCTAGGAGCCTTTAGTCTACTCTATATGGGTTAAAAATGTTTTGCCATTTTTATTTTGACTTAACTCATTATATTATTACCACAGTAATATAATGAGAAATAATACAATGAGAAATCATTAAGAAATTGATTTCTTAATGGCATTAAGAAGTTTATTTCTATAAGTGACTTTATTGTTTGTGTGTATGTTTTAATGGCTTTGGATTTTAAATCACAGTTAGAAAAGCCTTGCTCCCACTCTGTGATTATAAAGGAATTTGTCTATGTTTTCTAGTCTGTTTATGGTGTCATTTTTTTTTTTTTTTTTTAACATTTAAGTCTTTAATGCATTTTGAGAGTATCCTGTTTGTCTTGGTTCTGTAGTACAGCTATAACACATACCACAGGTGGGTGGCTTAACAAACAGGAATTTATTCTCTTACAGTTTAGGAGGCTAGAAGTCCACATTCAGAGTGCCAGCTCTAGGGTCTGAGTGACGGCCCCTCGACCTTGGGCTTCAGCTCTGCCTCTTATTCCAGGCCCACTGGAGCTGGAAGCTTCTTACTGACTCATGCAGCTACTAGCTGCTAAGGCTGACGAACCCAAGATCGACAGGTAAAATGGCACAATTCCAAGATTGGCAGGCAGTACATCAGGCCACTGGTTCAGGTCCAGGAACTAGAAGTAAAGACTTGGCCAAATGCAGAATCCAAAACATGCAAGTGTGTTAGAGACCTTTTTCAGAGCTTCTCTATATATACTGGAAGCAGGCCACACCTCAGAGGCTTTCTACTCACTAACATTTCATAGCATATTCCACCATCAAGGTGATTATGATCTCATCATGGGGAATAACTACAGTCAGCTGCCAAGCTACTCAAAGTTATAGCCTAGCCAAGTTAACACACAACCTTAACTGCCATACTGCTATATGAGTCCTTTGTATTTTCCAGGTGGTACCCAAATGTCCCTTCACCATTTATTGAGAAGTCTATTTCTTCATCACTGATTTGAGATAACCACCTTTATCACATTAAATTCCCATATACATACACACACATATATATGAATCTCCATCTCAACTTTTTATTTTGTTCCATTAGCCATTAAATTACTCTGTAAACTTAGGGAAAATTGACTTTATGATGTTGAGTCTTCTATGCAAAAACAGTATGTCTTTCTATTTTTGAGTTTTTTTTTCTGATTTTTGAGTTGTTTTAGGTCCTTCAGAAGTGTTGAAAAATTTTCCTAAAATAAGTTTGCATGTGTTCTTGATATGTCACTGTTTGGTAGTTTTGTTTCTGTTGTTTTAAGTGGGATATTAAAAATGATTTAAAAGAACTTAAATCCTTTAAAATTAATTTTGTGTTAATCTTTTGAAAATATTAAATATATCAAAAAAAGTATTTCATTGTCACGAGGTTATTGATTCATTACAGGAAGTAATTGGAATACTTGTATATTTGGTTCCTGTGCACTTTGTTCGGACCATTAGTGTTTGTAACGTTAATTCATAGATACTGTTTTTCCTATGAAATTTTTAAAAACAAACTGCAGGTGTCATCAAACTTCTAATAGTTTAAGTAAAATGTTATGTGTGTTAATTGTCATGTTTTCATATTTTCCTTGTTGCAGTTACATTTGTCAAAAGTTCTACCTTTTAAAATAAATTATGTACTTTGTGAAAATTCACTTAGTTGTATACTTTTTAATAAAACAAGTAAGATTTCTTTTTTCTCCTCTGGGGCTTACTTAGGTTGGATTCAGATGTCGAGGACATAGTACTTCCTCAGAAAGAAGACAAAATTTGCAAAAGAGACAAGATAATAAACAGTTAAACCCCAGTCAATCCCATAGAGGCGAACCAAATCCTGAGTCTTTATATTTTGAGGTATTTCTTCAAGCTCTATACGAAAAATGTTATAGCGAGTGTTTCTTTTAGGAAATTCATTTGTAACATTGTTAACATTATAATTACTTTTTATCTTTTAATGTATTCTTCTATGGATTATAAATTACTCAGAAATATTGACTCATTTTTCTTTAACTTGTTTATATAACTTAGTCAAACATTAACTCATTATTATTTGTATAAATTTTTGCCATATGTGTTCATCGTTTTGTGGTAACATCTAGAGGTAGAGCTTGATTTCTTGTGAACTTCACAAAGTATGATAATTTTTCTCTAAAATGTTTATTGTTGTTGTCCAGTCCATTTGTCCAGCTTTTCAGGTTTGAATATTTCTATTCAGTTAATTACTACTGCTGACCAGGAGAGTTTTGGAGAAGGAAAAGACTTTACTTTCTCTAATAGGAAAATCCAGTTTATATCTTAATTTTAATATTTCTATTGTTTATTCATCTAACTGGCTGTTGTTGGAGGGCTGTTACATGTATAAATTGTGATCCTTTGAATGATACATTAGGGTGAATAGATAAACTGCTGTAGGGAGGTTGCTGTGTATTAGGGGAATGTGGATATGTACACATCTAGTACTGGGTTAAGTATAGCTGGAATTGAAAAGACAGAAAAGTCACTTTGGGTTTAGAGTAAGTAGTGTTAACATTTGGGATTGATTTTAAAGAATGAGTGGGATTTGGTTGTGTCAAGGTAATGTTTGAGTAATTTATTTTGGTTAGATGATAGGTTTATAAAATGGGTTAATAGAGATTAAATTGGAAAAACCCACTTGGGGCCAGAGGATAGAGATAAATAATATGTTAGCTAAGCCTGGTAATTTGACTCGGTGGACTTGAGAATGCCTGTCACTTACTTTTTACCAAGAATAGTTTCAGTAGATCCAGACGTGTGGTAATTTTACTATTTGCGTTCAACTCTATGACTGGTTCTATACTTGTAAATACAAGTTAAAAATATTAAGTATAAATTTCAGTGTAAAGGAGCATATGGATTAAGAAATTAATTTGCAAACAACATTTAACCTTGTTGACAGTTGTGTGAAGTAATGTGGGACAGGAACTATATTAAATGAAATTTATATTAAGGATTACATTTAATATCTTTTCTAAATTATCTGAAGTGTAATCCAATTTGAAATTCTTTCTATCTCAGGGGAGAATTATTAATAAAAATGGAATAGTAGATGTAGAAACCCAAAGGAATATGTCCCCACCCTTGCATTATTATGTTGGCTATGTTTTAGCATCTAAGAAGTGACATTTCCTTTTTTAAAACTGACTTTAAATAGTTCATTGTTAAGATAAAAACAAATTTTTCTCATTTTTAATTACTCTAGAGCATTATAAAAGGTAGCTTTTCTTAGAAGTTTGTTGCCTTCAATTCTGTTTCCATTTAAAATGTGAAACGCAATTTCAGGATGAAAATGAGTTTCAAGAACTACATGAGAGTGGAAATGCTAAAGATGAGAATATTCAACAGAAACTTTCCTCAAAAGTAGTAAGTAATTTTCTAAAAACAATAAGCAAATTAGAACTTCTTTTAAACTGTGGCTATATTGTGAGCTCTGGTGGTGTAGTGCCTGAGGCATTTGAGTGCTAACCAAAAGGTTGGAATTCAAACCCACCAGCCACTCCTCGAAGGAAGACTAGGCTGCGCAGCCTACTTCCATAAAGATAGCACCTCAGAAACCCAAGGAGGAGTCCCTGTGAGTCAGGATTGGCTTGATAGCAATGAGTTTGGCTTGGTTTGGTTTAAGCTATATTGAAAAGAAACATTAAAGGTAAGTTCTAAACACATGTGGGGTGGCATGGCATAGCAGAAATTGTGTTCAGTACGTACCTCTAATTATTTCTTTTCAACATAGCCGAGAACAAAGACATTTTCCTGTGAAATCCACAGTTCCATTGTTATACCTGAGGAAATACTGTTAATTAAATGACATCATCCAACACATAGTCCATACTGAGATCTCCCTAGTAGTTGTAAGACTTTCTTTTCTTTTCTTGAACTTTTTATTGTGGTTTGCGTAAAAGTTACAGAGCAAATTAGTTTTCCATTCAACAGTTTATACACACTGTTTTGTGATGTTGGTTGCAATCCCCACCATATGACAGCACTCTTCCCACTTCTGTTTTCCTCATTTCCATTCATCCTTTTTTCCTTTCCCTTCCCTTTTCTGCCTTTTGAACTTTGTTTTTGGTCATATGCTACCCTTTTGGTCTCTTGTGATTGATTGTTCTGAGGAGTACATTCCTCCCTGGTGTTACCATTCACTTAGGGCTGTCTGTTGTTTGGCTGAAAGTTGATCCTTGGGGGTGGGTTCACTTCCAGGCTTGAAGGCTGTCAAAGGGCCACAGTCTAAGGGTTCTACCAATCTCTTAAGACCAGTAAGTCTTTTTTTTTTTTTTTAAATTTTAAATTTTGTTCTTTTTTTTTCCCCCTCCCACCCTGTCCAGGAGTTCTACTGTGATCCCAATCAGAGTGGTCAGTGGTGTAGCCAGGCACCATCTAGTTCTTCTGGTTTTAGGGCACCAGAGGCTGTGGTTTTCATGGTCCATTAGCTTTTGGACCAGTTGATTCCATGAGTCTTTGCTTTTCTTTACTCTTCTCTGCTCTGGATGTATCTAAGAGTTGCAAGACTTTCCTCTGGAGCTATTTTGTTTCAATCCAGGATCCAGGCAAGCCTTGCTCATTATATTAAATTGTCGTCTCTATTATTTTCTCTTGTGCATAGAATGTCCCATGTTTTGGACTTTTTTTCCTCATGATTATTGTTATTTTTTGCCATTGAGTTGATTCTGACTCATGGCAGTTCCATGTATGCAGACTATAACTGCTCCATAGGATTATCAAGGCTGTAAACTTTTGGAAGCACATTGCCAGACCTATACTCTGAAATACCTCTGAGTGGATTTCACCTGCCAACCTTGCCGCTAACAGTTGAATGCTTAACCATTTGTGCCACCCATTTTCCAATAAAAACACCACATGATGAATAATGTTAGTTCATCCTACTGTGGGCGATGCCAAGATTGATCATTTGGTCAGAAGATATATATTTATTTTAGTTTTTTAAGTATGGCAACTGATTCTTATAGGGAGCTCTGGTGGCATGGTGCCTAAGGCATATACAATTAAGGTCTATCTCTTTCCTGTTGTATATTTTCAATGCATCAATATTCTTCTGAACTTCTGGGATCGCTAAAAAGTGCTTTTCTTTGGTTATCATAGTTGGATGATTTACCTGAAAATTCACCAATCAATATAGTTCAGACTCCAATTCCTATTACGACCTCTGTTCCCAAACGTGCAAAGAGTCAGAAGAAGAAAGCTTTAGCAGCAGCTCTTGCTACAGCTCAAGAATATTCAGAAATAAGTATGGAGCAAAAAAAATTACAGGTATATATTCCTTTGTGATAATAAATGTGATAAGTTATTTGCTAAGTTTGGGGGGATGTACAGAGGAATGATAAGTATCATCTTAAATTGCCACACTTTCACATTAAAGTAAAAATAAGTATTTTCATGTTCATCTTGCAGGAAGCTTTGTCAAAGGCAGCTGGAAAAAAGAATAAAACACCTGTGCAGCTAGATTTGGGAGACATGTTAGCTGCTCTGGAGAAACAACAGCAGGCAATGAAAGCACGGCAGATTACTAATACTCGACCTCTGTCATATACAGGTGATAGCATTAGTCTAAGTAAATGCTCTTTGGCTTTGGTAATATATTTTAGTTTTGTATTGTTAATATAAAATTCTTGTAGTTACACACACACACACACACACACACATACACTAATGTTAGCTCAGACCACAAACCTTCTCTTTCCTTGGACTCCTACATTATTAAGTCCAGCAGCACATCCTGTGTATTTTACATTTAAAACCTATCCAGAATCTAACTACTCACCAGCTTCTCTTCTGCCACCCTAGTAGTCCCCATCATTTTACTCCACTGTAGTTCTTGCTTATCTGCTATTGCCCTTTGCCTCTCACCACCCCAGGTCTATTTTAAAAGAAGTGATTTTTTTAAAAATATAAGTCGTATCATGTCACTTCACCGCTCAAAACTCTCCAGTGGCTCTTCTTCTCAGTTGGAGTGAAGCCAAAGTCCTAAAGCCCGATCTTCCCTGACCGGTTCCTTCTTCACCCTCATCCACATTCGCTCCTCACTGTGCTCTAGCAACATTATTGTCTTTGTTGTTTATCCACATACCTAGCATATTCTTAATTTAGTATCTTTATGCTCGCTCTTTCCCCAGATAGAATTTGTTGTCTCATGTCTTCATGTTTCTACTTAAATGTTAGTTGGTGTGCATTTTGAAGCAGTAACCTTATTTTTTTCTTCTTCATAGGTTGAAATAAAAATCATAAAAAGCTTGGCTGTCTTAGCTGTCGGTTATCCAATTTAAAACCAAATGACAAACATAGGTTTTTTATTTTTAATTTTCTGTCTTATTTATATATATATATATATATAGTGATTTGGGTGAAGATTTACAGAGCAAATTAACTTTCCATACAGCAGTTCACATGTACTTTGTCTCATGTCATTGACCACAGTTTACCACAATGCAACAGCTCCCCTCTTACTTCCTCCCCATAGTTACCTCTTCCCAGTGTCCACCCCTCCATACACTCCTGCCCCCTGAGCTGTCTCCCTGTGCATAAGCAGCCCTTCTTTCTCCCATGATTTTTCTCTCCAAGGAGTGTATCTACTTGAGGTAAAAAAACATATGCATTTTGATCAGATTGTGTGTCATGTGTCGGTGTGTAGGAGAAGATGATCCGGTTTTCTGTTGAAACGATCATTTCTATTTTAACTAACCTCATGAAGTTCAGAGCTCAGTAGCTCTGATGTGTTCCCTCATTTCTTTTCATGGTCTTTGTTTAAAAAGGGTGAGACCTGTGACAGAGGGGGAGGCACCAATAAAAAGCACTGATATCAAGAGGCAGAAGTGAACTTTCTGTTTCCTCTGTTCCTGTGTAGTGTGACTATTGCTTACTGACAAAAAACAAAAAAAGCAACTATATATAAAATTAATCCTGTGTGCAAAATGTTTAAACTTGTGGCTCCTTACCGATCTAGTATAAACCTTAGGTAACTAAGTTACAAAACTTGGATAATTAAACTTTTGAATAATTATTGTAAAAATAATTTCCAATGCATACTGAACTTAAGAATTGTGTGTGCTGAGTTGGAGAGATAGTAATATCTCTCTTAGAGTAAAGAACTGAGAGTTAACAATGTTATGGAAGCATTGTGACCTAGTGATTAAAAGAAGGGTCTCTGGAGTCTAACTGCCCAAGTTTGAATCCTCTTCTTCCACATTTTCCCTTGGTAAATTGCTTATCTTACCAGTGCTTTTACTTCTTTGAGGATTAATGAGATGGTGCATGTAAAGTTCTTAGAGTGTCAGATGTAATCACTCAGTAAGTGTTAACTAATCTTATTACAGAGAAGAAATCACTAACCTGTGATACTTTAAAAGACTTATTATTACAGCTTTGATTGATTTAGCAGATGTTAGTATATACAGCCATAAACATTCAAAGCACGGTGTCGGGAACTATTGGGATTACAAATATGATTAAGATATACCTGTGGTCAAGAAGTTAATAATCTGGTTGGGGAGGAAGACATACACAGATAACTAATAAACAGTAGTGACTTAGGAAAGATATAAGAAAAATTATTTGAAGTTGCAGAAGAGAAAGTGATTCATATGGAAGTATGGAGAGGTTCTTAGGAATTCTTCATAAAGATGGCATTTGAACTGGGTTTTGAAGTAGGATTCTTGACAGATATAAATGAAATTAACTCCAGTTTTTATCAGTGTTTAAATTGGAGAGTGTTGATTACAGAGGAAGTTTTTGGGAAATCCAAGCAAAGGATGAGACTAGGAGGAATGAAAGGATTATAAGGAGTCAGGAAGGTTATTGATAGAATATAGAAATAGGTCAAAGATGACTCCAAACTCTCTGGCTTGGAGGACTGTCATGGTGGTGAGGGCTATGTTGATAGTAAACAGGATCTGGATCATGGAAGAAGAGTTTTGTTGGGAAATGCTAGTGAGGGAGGGTGATCATTGTGGTTGTTATTTAGCAGTTTAGGTTAGGAGTCGGGGATTTTTAGACAAATGATATTTGAAGCCGTGGGACTATGTAAGATTGCCAGGAGAAAGAAAAATCAGGATAAAGATGTTCAGTAAGTCTTGGGGAATGCTCAGAGTTAAAAAGCAGAAGGAAGAACCAGAAAGATAGGGTTGAGGAAGAAATATTGGAGAATGTAATGGCACTGAAGGTAAGGATAGACTTTTGAGGGAGAGAATGTGGGCTTTGCTGCGAAGCTAGAATAGGATGAAGACTCAGTTGTATTTGGGAATTGTAGAATTATGGTTGATCCTTGGTAATAGCAGCCATATTGTAATGATTTGGTAAGTGATGATGAGATAATAGGGAAGAAAGGAAAGTGATAGTACCTTAGCTTGAAGGAAGTTAGTTAAGGGGAGGATTTTGTTGGTTTGCCTTTTTCTTTTTTTTAACTAGAGGAGATTTTAGCATGTGGGAAGTCAAGGAAAATAGTGAGTGATTAAGGAGGAGCTTGAATGATGTGAGGAGGAAGAAATGCAGTAAGATCCTAAAGCACAGGTGGTTGGAGAGCCTTGGATGGATAAGGATGCCTGATACCCCCTCTCAGGTGGTTTGTAAGTTCATAAGTTTATATTTGGGTAACATCTTAGCAAAGTGGGAGGGAAGCTTCTCTGCTAGAGTAAAAGAATTGAGATCAAAGGCTGAGGGATTTTGAAGGTTTGGGGTAGCTATGGGAGAATTAAAGAGTGTCTACCAGGCATTAAAGAATTACTGACTAGTACTGAGAGGGAAAAAAAAAAATCACATTATTCTTTACTGACAGACTGAAATAAAAGGAGTGTGAGTCTACATATATGAGTGTAAATGGAATCAGTAGGATAAGGAGAAGTTCAGAATTTTGAAATTTCAGAAGCAGAATGGTTCTGGCTGAAGATCAGTTGCAAGAAATTGCCATGCTTGTGAGTCGTAGTGGTAGAGTAGAGCTGATCACTGCTTGCTGCTTTGGACTGCTAAATGAATTAATCTCATTCATTTTGTCTCTTTTTCTTATAGAGGCTAAGAAGATGGATAAGAGTGGTATCTCTGGGCACTGCATAGCTATGTATTTGCTCCTATTACTGGGATGTCTGTTTTTTTCCATGGGAAAAGGATGTTCTTGTTTTTGTAGGTTTGTCATTGGAAATTCTGAAAGTATGTTGTTTTGGCTATAATAGTAAAACTAATGTTCTTGTTTGTTTTTAGTGGCCACTGCAGCTTCTTTTCACACTAAAGACTCTGCTAGCAGAAAATCTTTAACCAAAAGTCAGACATCCTTAAGTTCTTTAGACATTACTTCCTCCAAAGCAAAAAAAGGAAAAGAGAAGGAAATTGCAAAACTAAAACGACCTACAGCACTTAAAAAGGTAAATTAAAATCCATGGGTGTTTATTTTATAGAATAAATAAAGGTTTAAATCTGTTCTGCGAAAGTACTTCTGCTGTTTTAGCCAAAAGATTATTGTGAAGTTTTCATAGACATATCTGCATCTTTATAGCTATTTCAAGGTTGGGGATATCAGTAGCATCATAGCTATCTTTATGTGTAGAATAAGACTCTAGAAAATGAATTATTTCTGAGGTTAAAACAGCAACAGCAGCAAAAACCTTACAACATTTTATATACAAAGACACAGGAATCTAGGAATCAGAAGCTTTGGATTCTAGTACTAATGTCAGTGCCTATTATGTAGCTTTAGGCAAACCTTTCTTTCTCTCATCTTCATCAGCCATAAGTCAGGGATTATATCTGCCCTGCTTTGGAATTGTTATTAGAAGGATCAGAATGAGATAGTGTATGTCCAGAGTATTGAAAACTGCAAAAGGGAAATCAGTGTAACCCTATGACCTGATTTCAAAACTTTTCATTTTATCCATATTTTGAAAAAACGGTTTGGTTTGTTACCCAGGATTTTTTTTTTTCCCCACTATGAACCAATTACATGTTTATTCAGTACTGTAACATTGGTAACCAGGATACCCCAGCTTATCTCCAGCTAGGAGAAACTCAGGTAAGCAAATACTGCTGTTGTTAGGTGCCATCAAGTTGATTCCACCTTACGGCAACCCTCTGTATAACAGAATGAAGCTGCCTGGTCCCGTGCCATCTTCACAGTTGTCATACTTGAGCCCATTGTCACAGACGCTTTTGTCAGTCCTTCTCATTGAGAGTCTTCCCATTTTTCACTAGTCCTGTACTTTACTAAGTATATCTTCCTCCAGGAATTGATCCCTTTTGATAACATGACCAAAGTATAAGAGATGAAGTCTTGCCATTCTCATTTCTAGGGAGCATTCTGGCTGTACTTCCTCCAGATAGATTTGTTCATTCTCTAAAATTCATGGTACATTCAGTATTTGCCAACACCATAATTCAAATGCATATATTCTTCTGTGGTCTTCTTTATTCGTTGTCCAGCTCTCACAAGCACGTGAGGCTATTGAAAATACTGTGGCTTAGATCAGGCTCACTTTAGTCTTCAAAGTGATGTCTTTGCTCTTTTGCATTGATTGTGGAGATAAATAATACGTAGAAAGTAACTCCAGGTTGATCAATGCATACCTGGATACATTTGTCAGCTAGCATTCAACGATGTGTTAATAAAATGAATTTATTTTAACATCATATTATCAGGCTTGTTCAAAACAAAACAACCCTCTAAAAATCCTTTAATCTTAGGAAGAAAGGAAATGAAGTCAGTAAAAACCCAGAAAATGGATGTTGCTGTGCTACTCAGCAGTTTTCCATCAATAAGCAAGTTGCTTGATTACATTTCAGCTGCAACTATAGCAATAATACCATTAAGTAAAATCTCAGAACTTGTAGACTGCCTGTTTATTTTTCTAGGTGTCTTTTCTGAAGCATGGTGATCTGCAGCAGGTTGAAAATTTGCCTTTAGATTAAAATGACAGGGAAGAGATGGTCACAAACCCTACGTGAACATTCATAGTTGTAGCTGATAAATCTTGCAATAGCATTTTAACATGAATTTTCATTAAAGGACAGACTGGACTTATTTGGGAGCCCTTATAGCTTCCATTAATAGAAGTCCAAGCAGAGACTGGGTGGCTGCTTCTGTAAAGGAAAGCCAAGCAATCAAGGGGACTGATAAAATAATACCACCAAGTTCCTTGTTTACAATGAAGCTTTTGAGTAAATATTAAAAATTGTGTATATATTTTGTATATATTATTGTCTGCTTTTCAGAGAGAGATTTTTTTTCTAAGCAGAGAAATAATTACACTAATAATCTTCCTAGAAATCACCATTTTAGTCATTGACAGATCTTAAATTTGAGGAACAGTGTTTCTTGCAACTTGTTACTTACGTTAGTGTCACTTACAATCTCAAATATGCTAATGTATTTGCCTAAGGCCCATATGCTCTTTTTTAGTTTTGTTTTAAGTGAAAGTTTACATGGCAGTTTGTCCTGTGCCATTGTTTACAGTTTTTACGTTGTGTCAACATTCCCATTATTTCCATTCTGTTTGTTCTGTTTCCACTGATCTAGTCTCCCTTCCCTTCCTTCCCATCTCACCCTTGCTTTTGGGGAAATGTTGACGGTTTGGTTTATATATAGTCACCTAGGGTTTCAAAAATGAAGCAGATGTTGTTTGAAAGCTGTAGTATTCTGTAGTATAATTGCCTTCCTTTATTTTGGATACAGTGTGTCAACTTACAGTGCCCAAAATTATATTTACCTTTTGGCCATTCTGTTCCTACTCTTTAAAAACAAGTAGTCAGCTAAAATCCTCATGACCGTTTTTAAGTGAACTGCTATACCTGTGGAAGAGTGTACTCTGTAATCATTCAGTACATATTTAAAGAGTGATTAAGAATTAAAGACTGCTAATGACTTTTAGGTAATTTTGAAAGAAAGAGAGGAAAAGAAGGGGCGCTTAACTGTGGACCACAGTCTTTTGGGATCTGAGGAACCAGTAGAAATGCCCCTAGATTTTATTGATGATCTGCCACAGGAGGTGGTTTCCCAGGAAGGTAAGAATGTTTTTCTCTGTTCTAATGGCATGGGCCAGAGTATTTTAATCGAGTATTTAATTACTAGTTATGTACCAAATTGGAGGATGTGCTCCACCTTTTGTCTAAATTTTTATTTTTGAGATTTGTGTCTTTTAATGATGATCTTGGGAAATAAAGGGCAGGGCACGTGTTACATAGTAGGTCTATGACATTTTTGGATATTTCAATCTAGAATTTGTTATAAACTATCAAATCTATGACTACAGCCAAAACATGAGATTTCTCCTGTAGCTTAATTTTTTTTTTCTTTCATTTTTGTCTTACTTAGTATTTAGAAAATTACTGGTTATCCTTTTCAGGGCTATTTTCCATTAATTCACTTTTGTTGATTTTCTATCTTCCTTCTGTGGAATTTATGTTCTCACAGTGAGTAAAGAATTGCACAGAGATTGGTCAGTCAGATTCAGGCCTGTACAATAGCCAGCATTTATGATTCTAGTTTGAACTTTCTTCTGAAATTTATACTATGGAAGAAAAAATTCAGAGAGACCTGGCTAGGTCCCTTTTCCTGCTGGTATATATTTGTTTCTTAACTTTTTGTAACATAGTTAAATCTGATTTATATGTAAGTTGAGCAGCAATACTCCATTGTTTTTAGAAACATGAGTTTATTTTTAAGGATTGTTCAACTCACACATACTTGGTTAGGATTACCAAATTATTCTCAATTTAATATGATTACTTGAATATTCAGTTGTCTCTATCCTTAATTCAGGAAGTGTTTATTGAATACCTATGTGTGCTTTGTAGCATAGTGCCTAAGGCACTTGACTGCTAACCAGAAGTTGTGGTTCAACCCCACCAGTTACTGCTCAGAAGGAAGGTTGGGCAATCTACTTCTGTCATGATACTGCCTTGGAAACCCAAGGAGGGGCTGCTATGAGTTGGGTCCGACTCAGTGGCACAACAGCAACAACATGTATGCTTTAGTAATTGGGGGTGGAGGTTAGGGAATGTAATAAAGATTTATAGTCAACTGGTCATATTATCAAAGAACTTAAAATCTTACATGAAGATAAGAAGATATATGTGTAAATTTGCTGATATACTGCCTGAATATACAAACATTAAATTATTTATTGAGTTTAGCTAGAAAGAGATTCAGAAGTTAATACCTTTGTTCTTTAATTCAGATCTTCTAGGAATACATGTTTGGATAATTTGATCTTCCTTCTATCTCCTTTGTAGAGACTTACAGGCTGTACTTGATTTTTAAGAGTATATTTTAATAGATAATAGGAAGACTTCATTTTTGTAGTGTATGAAAATTATTTATTTGTGATATGAAAAATGATTTATTTGTGATATGAAAAATGCCCAACTTGTTAGTTTCTAGAAAATTTGGAAGTGACTCAGAAGACAACTGCTACTTTATTTTGATCAACATGGAGCATTTGGCATTTGAAGTTTCTAATTTCTTTCCCCTCCCTCCACATCTCCACAGATACTGGACTGAGCATGCCCAGTGATACTTCACTCTCTCCAGCAAGTCAGAACTCTCCATATTGTATGACACCTGTGTCACAAGGCTCTCCTGCTAGTTCTGGGATAGGCAGTCCAATGGCATCTTCAACAATAACCAAAATCCACAGCAAAAGATTTAGAGAGTAAGTTTTATTATTGTTACTGAGGTTGACTAATTTAAGTATCTTGATTGTAGTTCTGATTTTAGTATTTTAAGTTTTACTCAGTCAGTTGAGCAGACAAAACATCAAAGATCTTTAAGTTCATCAGATTTTGTTTAACAGCTGATTTTATTATATTTAAAGCATTTTCCTTTGGTCAGCTGTCAATGTTCATATGAAAGTGGACATTAAATATATTTTCTTTATATTGGATAGTATTTATACCCAGAAAATCTAGCCTTTTACACTTTATACTTCAAGTGCCATAGTATGAATTTTTCCCAAAAAATATTTTTGCTTTTTACATATTATTGAAACTTCAAAAAACCTTTCTAACCAATTACTTAGAGGTTTCTAAGACCCTATTTACATGAAGTAGACCTAGTAAATAAACCTGTTTGTTCTTGAGAAGATATTTCTGAGTTTTAAAATTGAGGTAATTAATGTAGGGGATAACAAAATATGATACCATATCTATGAATAACCTTAAACTAATAGTCTGTGAAAACCTGTAGGATTTTGGTATTTGTATGTTGTTGTTGTTGTTGTTTGCCATCGAGTTGGACCCGACTCATAGTGACCCCTCATTGGGTTTCCAAGGCAGTATCGCTTCGGAAGTAGATTGCCCAATCTTCCTTCCGAGGAGAGGCTGGTGGATTTGAACCGCCAGCCTTCTGGTTAGCAGTCAAGTGCCTTAGGCACTATGCTACCAGAGCTCCTATATGTGACTTAATTTTACCTTGAAAAATTACAGCTGAAAAAATCCCAGGGAAAGTATAATCTATGTGACTCTGGACCACATTGGTTTGTTCTATTCCTTTTTCTTATATAATTCTTGCCCAGATTTGTAAAGTCAATTAAATGTCAAATAACAAATGTGGAGCAAATGAAACACTTGGTGTTCTGGTTATCTAGTGCCGCTCTGACAAGAATATACCACAGATGGGATGGCCTTAACAAACAGGAGTTTATTCTCTTACAGTTCATGGGAGGTTAGAAGTCCAAGTTCAAAGTGCTAGGCTCTAGGGGCTGTGTAAAATCCCCTCGACCTTGGGCTTCAGCTCTGCCTCTTGCTCCCAGTCCACTGAAGCTAGAGGCATCTCTTCACTCAGGCAACTACTGGCTGCTGAGGCTAACAAGCCCAAAGTTGACAAATAAAATGGCACGGTCCCGATGTTACCAAACCACACGGCAGGCATTAATTCAAGTCCATTTTAAGTCCCAAGGTTGGCAGAGCATGGGAGGCTGCTGAACAATGACATGGCTATGTGCAGGGTCCGAGTATGCCATGAGCTGGAGACCATTCCCAAAGCTGTGGCTTATGTATGGGAAGCAGACCACATACCCAAAGGCCGCTGTTCAGCTGCTCACAGTAGATTCCACCATCGAGTTGATTACCAGTCTCATCATGCGGAATACTACATCCAGCTTCCCAGCTACTCAACCAGGCCTAGCCAAGTTGACACACAAACTTAACCACCACACTTGGGTAATAAAAATGTTGGATATGTATGAAATAAACAGCTTGAAGGAAAAGAAAAAGAATGAGGAAAATTACAGTTTTTGATGTTTTATTCTTTAATTGTATTTTTTAACTTTGCATATTTAAACTATGATACTTAATGTTTATTCCCTAAATTTGTCTAGTTACTCTTAAGTAGTGTCCTACTTGTTCTTATTTAAACACATAATCAAAAACAAAAACAAAAAAAGGCCCCAGGGGAGACAGATGGGTGTATAAGGTGAAAGTTTACACCAGATTGGTACACGCCTTAGAATAATCAATCATGGGAGATCAGAAGGGCTTTATTTGTGCAAAGTCATAGCTCAGAGGGCAGAAAAGTATAGGAAAGGACACAGGGAAAAGGTGACAACAAGGAGAAGGTAGGAAGAGAGCTATTACATTGTGGGAATTTGCAGTCAATGACATGAAACAGAATATGTATGAATTGCTGTATGGAAAATGAATTTGCTTTGTAAACTTTCACCCAAATCACCATTTAAAAAAAAAAAAAATTTTTTTTTTTTTTTTTTGGTCTTAAAGAATGGTGTGCCTAGATGTTTCTACTATACAGGGTAATTTAGAAGTGGAAATTCGCTTGCCTGGTTATTCCCAGATTAGAATTTTTGCCAAATCTCCTTATTAATTGCCTGCTTGTGATAGACAGGAGGAAATATGAATGACTTCCTTATGTCTGAAATATAGTGGCTTCACACTTACTTTTTTTTACAACACATTTTGCTGTGATTTAGGTGAAAGTTTACTTAGCAAATCAGTTCTTTTTTAATTGTGATTTGGGTGAAAAGTTTGCAGAGCAAATTTGTTTTCGTCATTTCATACATGTTTCTTTTATGACATTGATTGCACTCCCCACAGTGTAACAGCTTTCTTCCCACTTCCTTCCTGTGGTTACCCTTTCCCTGTGTCCGTCTTTCCTATGCATTCTTGCCCTCTGAACTATCTCCCTGTGCAAATGCTGCTCTTCTGATTTTCCATGGTTGAATGTTTTAAGACATGTACCTGCCTGGTGTAAATGTTCACCTTGTGGGCCTGTCTGTTGTTTGGTTGGAAGACAGGAGTGAGTCCAGTTCCAAGTCTAAAGGGTGACTAGGGGCCATAGTCTCAGCAGTTTTCCTAGTCTCTATCAGACCAGTAAGCCTGGTCTTTTTTATGATTTTTTGAGTTTTGTTCCACATTGTTCTCTTATTCCATCCAAGATCTCCTGTACTGATCCCTTTCCAAGTAGTGGATAGCGGTAACTGGCTCACACTTAATTCTTTTCTGTTTTTTGCATTATAGCCATACGTGATCTCAGGAAGGGCCTCATTCTGTTGTTGTATCTTACATAAAAACGTGTGATCTTTATTTCAAGGTGTCTTTGGTTTTGGCTTCAGTTTGATTATTGAGTTTATCCTCCATAGCCATAGAATTTTATGCTAGATGGGATCATTAAATCCATCCTGCCTAAGTCCTTATTTTTATACATAAGTAACCCAATTCCCGGAGATTGCGATTTACCAAGCTTGGAAGATGAGTTATTGGTGTTAGGGCCTTCATTTAGCTTCTGTGGAATTATATTTCTTTTCTACTACACACATCTTTGATATTCAATTGGAATGAAATAACTTTATATTTCCTTATCAAAAACATCTCAGAAGGAAGGTTGGGGAATCTACTTCTATAGTGATACTACCTCGGAAACCCAAGGAGGGGTCGCTATGAGTCTGATCCGACTCGACGGCAGTGTGGGTTTGGGTTTTGGTTTGGTTTATCAAAAACATTATACTTGTTTTTACTTAATAGCATACTAACACTTGATTTATAGGCTTACAAATTTAATAATTGAGAGTTCGGATAGTACTTCTTTGACTTAAATGTATCTTTTATGTAAAAGCCAGTCTGTTGGAATTCGGAAATGAGAATCCCAGTCACTCTTCTGTTTTTCTAAATTGACTGAAGGATTTAAGAAGTTTTAAGGACTTTTTATGAGCACTTCTTACTGGATGTATTTTTTTTTTTAATAAAGTAGTTTTATAACAAGGAAAATAAATTTAGGATGGAGTTATGATTTTTGCTTTCCTTTACAGGTATTGTAATCAGGTTCTTTGTAAAGAGATTGATGAATGTGTGACTCTTCTTCTCCAAGAGCTTGTCAGTTTCCAGGAACGCATTTACCAAAAGGATCCTGTAAGAGCAAAAGCAAGGAGACGACTGGTTATGGGCCTAAGAGAGGTTACCAAACATATGAAGTTAAACAAGATCAAGTGTGTTATAATTTCTCCAAACTGTGAAAAAATCCAGTCCAAAGGTAATGCACGTTTTGCTTTTGAAGTATCTTGATATATATTTAATGTAGTGGTAGGATAATAGAGTTAATTTCAAGGTGGAAGCCCTATGTCTTTCTCATTGGAGTTTAGCTGTAAAACAAAATATTGAGTATGAGGGATGAACATATTTATCTCCCAATACCAAAAATTAAATAGTGTAATTGAGATTGGATTGTAAAGAAAATTTTCATCTGTGACCCTTAGAGAAGGATTTAGATTGGGTTCACTAAGTTTTCCTTCAGTGATGGTCAGAGTGGGACTAGTAGGAATATATTTCTTTACTTCTGCAAATGTACACTCTGCTTTTTAAACTTTTATGTACTTTGTTTGGTGTCCTCCTTCTCTTAAAAAGGATTAGAAAAAATATTAAGGTCTCTGTTGCTACTTATGATAGTGATGACTTACCTCCCAGAAACCAGCAGTTATATACTGAATCTCTTGAGTGAGCTGGCACATGAATACTTTACCATGTTATGCGCCCTTGTGTGACCATTTTGGTGGCAGGGCAGACAGATGAATGGAGTAGCCAGCACCACTAGTACTCGTAGTAGTATTCGTAATAGACATATCCATGGGGGTGCAAAAACGACAAGGAGGCCACATGTTCTGACCTCCTCTAACCCTACAAGGGGAAGGCAGGATTACCAGCAGTAACCCAAGGCCTATTACTGCCAGGCCAGACATGTTGCCTCCCTCCAGTCCTTTCTCCAACCGTTCCTCCCAGAGCACCCAC